CTCCTTAAGAACATCTTGAAGAATTTGATTCGAGTGATGTAGATGAATTTGAGATTGGGCTTTCCGATTTCTACGCCGCTTTTCATCCTGCATCCAGGCAACATGCATCCTATCAAAGCCAAGCAAGGCTTCCTCCAAATCCATCTGCGCCACACCGCTCGCATCTTCACTTGCCATAATGTGAATCTCGTGTTTCTATCCAACAACGGAATGTCATACTTCATTGTCGCCATGCGGAACAATCAACATTGCGCTCTGATACCACTTGTTATGAAATGGATCGTAAGATAATGACGATAATGAAATAAAGAAGAAGAACACAAGAATTTACATGGAAACCCAATTTGGGAAAAAACCACAAACAGAGGAGAACAATTCACTATGATCAATAGTTTTGTGTTTGTAATATCAAAATTTCAATAACCTCAATTGAAATCTAAAATCTCAATTTCTCAATATGTTGTTGAAAATGTAAAGAATATTATATGATTATTGTATTATGGAGATACAATGTGGCTATATATAAAACATCTTATTTGAGTCCAAGATGGAGAAGGAATCCAAAATATGCCTTTAGTCATCCAAGAGTCCTTCTTCAAGTCAAACTCCTAATTATTATTGAAATTTGATCTTCAATCATATTAGAACTCTACAAACTCAGATACCTTAGACTTATTCAAATCAACCAAATATCAAATCACCTAAAATTTGGATCATACCACAACAAAGACAATATTTAAGTTATGATAGAATCACGTAACTACAGTGCGCAATCAAATTAATTAGTTCTTAATCGAAATTTATTAAGTTAATTAATCTTATATAACAATTAATAAATGGAATCTAAATATTTTATCCTAGAATGAAGGTGCATCTTGACTTTTCCAATTTTTGCCAAATTAATGTCAACTTTTTTAATTAACGTGGATTCGTCCCAAACCATGCAAATACAATTACAGTCAAAGAAATCATAATTAATTCATATAAATAATATTATTTTTGGTATGTTCAAATCACAATCACAATCATATATGTTAATGAACTAGCAATTTGACATTTTTTAAAAAATCTACAAATTGGAAATCAATTATATCTATGACTTTAAGTTATAGTGAAAGAAAATGTCAACCGATTACTCGATATTTGGAGTGATTTTCAAGCACAAGTCGAATCTTTATTTAAATTTGTGTATTTCTTGGAAATTTCCAAGGTTTCACTCCATGTTCTTGTCATATGTATTTGATCCTCATGTAAGAATTGTCAATTTTTTATTTCTAATTTCTTGAATTGGTGGAGGACTTAATCACCTTTGGTAACAGACTTGTTTACTCTAATGATACGTCAACAATCAATATTTTAAATGGTTTATCGATTTTATAAAATAAAAAAGAAACCTAAATCTTATGTATTGTGACGATGAATCATGCCTACTACATGTGTAGAGCATATTCTTAAGAAAGATATGGTGACGTAAATTGGATGAATTGCACTACATGTACAGTGTTTAGAGGGGATAGTACTAAATGCACTAAAAAGAAAAAAAAAAATCTAATTTATTATACTATCTTATCTTGTCTAGTATTGCGTAGCAAGCATGCCCTTTAAATTAATTTAAAAAGATGGACAGACACAATATGCACCAACCGTTGCTAAGTTGTACGTAGAATTTTTGGACACGTTGAAAAAGGGAATCATATTCTTATTTGATACTTGTTTAATTTGGGTTCTATCTTCACTTCCAAGTTTAAAGCAATGTGACACGTTCTTAAGGACAATACATAGTGCCTCATCTTACATAATTACTTATTCTTTGACTACTTTTAGACAGATAAAAACCAAAGTAATTGTTCTGTGACTCTGCTTGTTTCTTTTGTTATGGATTACTTTGGATAATTGGGAAAATACAGACAATTATTTGATTCATTGAGTAGAACCTTTTTGCATTTGTCTTTTCCAATTCCTCCTTATGTAACTAAACTATTCTTCGAGAAATGAACCATAAACGCTTAAGCTACCAAATAAATGTTGTATGCTTGTGACAGCATATTCTTCGCAGACATGGGCGGACCTAGGAAGTCCTGGGTGTAAGTGCCCCCAGCTTTTGAGTTTTTTTTTTTTTTAATAAAATTGTGTTTGGTATCTATTGAAATCTAAATTTTAATTTAAATCAAAGTTAACAATTAATTTTAATAACATATTTCATGGAATCTATAAGTATTTTAATTTTTTTCAAAATTTACTAAAAATTTGATTTTAATCTCCACCAAACAGGGCAAAATCACAATAAATTTGTATTTCTATAATATGCTAATTTTAAAAATTTTCCGACGATCATACTCTAATCGAATCTACAAATTGCTTACGTCATCTCAAAATTTATTTCGAGAACTACATTTTGGGCATATCGAGTAATCCAAATAGATATCGAAAATAGTTAAAAATACGTTAAACGCGAGTCTTAAAAAAAGACGTCTAACTCGCATTTTTTTAAAAATTCAATTATTTCATTAATATTTATTATTTTTGCGATACAAATTTCTCAATGTAATTTTCATCATTTTATTAGGAAATTTTATATGGAATATGACATAAAAATTTTTCGAAATTTTACATTCGAAAAAGTCAAAGTCGCATAACTCGCATTTTCTTTAAAAAAATTCAATTATTTCATTAACATTTATTATTTTTGCGATACAAATTTCTCAATGTAATTTTCATCATTTTATTAGGAAATTTTATATGGAATATGATATAAAAATTTTTCTAAATTTTACATCCGAAAAAGTCATATCTTATGTAAATTTTCGGATGTAAAATTATATACGGTATGATTTTTTTGGATGTAAATTTTCAATTGTAAAATTTCTCCCAACTTCTTTTCAAGTTCGATTGTGCCCCCTAACTTTTAAGGTCTGCGTCCGCCCCTATTCGCAGATTAAGGATGTCATGGCAAGATGAAACCAATCACTAGAGGGGGGAAAAAAACTATCTAACTTTTCAAAGATATATGTTTATCATTTGTTAATACACGTTTGATCAATTTTACAAGCCCAAAAATAAGTTAATATTTAAGGCATGTTTGGGCCTGATTTTAATTTAAGTCAAAATCAAACATCAATATCAATCACATTTTTCATGGGTTCCACATCTTTTCAACCACACATTTCAAAAACTTCTATCACAATCTACTTAAAATCTGATTTTAATCTACACCAAACACCCTCTTAAGATAATTTGGGACATTAATGCGGACAATATTAAATTCGTTACGAAATCATATAGAGTTCAATCGTAACACCGAATATTTAATTTCTTACTATTTAAAATTTTTTTTTTTTGAATCATGAATTATATTCATAAAAGGCGCATAAAGCGGATACACGGAGAAAGACCTCCAACACAAACTCTCAAGAGAAAGATAAAAGTGCTTCCACGGCCCAAGCGACACGACAAATACAAAAAAATTGGTAATGGGCTTCACCCTTGGGCTAGAATGTAACATATTACTACAAAAAAATTCTGGGCCATGGGATTGAACCCAGAAGTTCAGTGTGGGCCTGTGCCCACCC